ATTATTATTCCTATCTATTGTTTCTCTCTATTATCATTATGTAAATTAATTATTATGTACAATTGATATCGTTGTTAATGATATCAATTCCACTTGTTGTTATTGCCGTATCATTCGGATTATATTGTCGTACCTGTTGTAAATTGTAATTGGCCGTCGCCAATATTGCTGCGCCGTTGTTGACACCGGCCTTGATGACGTGGTTGACGCAACTGGCTTATATTTGGCAAATTGAAAAAAAAAACGAAAAACGGCACTAGTGAAAATGGGCTCAATAATGTCGTGATTTCAACTTTCGAGTTTCGAGATCAACAACCATTAACATTGCATCATTTCGTCATTTTTGTCGGATACAATTTATTAATGAAATCATATCATACCTACGATCAAATTAGTTCTAAGTATTACATATTTTGTAAAATGCCATGTATAAAAGTGATTGCACTCAAATTATAATTATTGACATATTATTATTATTATATTGTAAAATAATGTGGTCAATTTGAGATACAATAATAAAGTAAAAATATACGGTAAAAATTGTTTTCGTACTGTTCTATTGTACAGCCTATTACCTATATCTATTAAAATGTCGATCAATATAAATAACATCGTAGTTTTTAAAGTAAAACAAATGGGGAGGTAGGAACTTGAAAGACTTATATCCTACTTATATAAGGATCGTTAATCCGTGTATAAATTACTTAAAACTCAAGTCTTAAATTTATTAACATTTTTATCAACACTTTAATAAAAAAATTAAAAGAGGATTGACTATAAAAAATATCAAATGGCTGTTGTGTTTTAAAGTATCATTGACATTCAGTTTCCAACCAGAAAATAATAACATTATATAATATTGAAGTTAAAAAATGAAGCTGTTCCTAAGCGTGGACAGACACAAAAATGATTTTAAAAATAACCCTCATATCATCAGCTTAATATTGTATTGCGTTACTGATTTAAATATTATTTTAAGAGATGAATCCAACAAAGTCACACTTAATTTTGGTAATATTTCGAGTTGTTGCAGTATGTGTTGACCGAGGACGTCGAAATGATTGTTTATGACATTATATAGTTTGTGTTACATTACGTGGTCTGAGAATGAGCTATTTGAGCTATTTCAAAATATCCAATTGTTCAGCAGAGCAATTTTTAACTTTGACAGCCAACATCTTTTTTTCAGGTTATCTTATGAATATAACTAAAATTTTAATGAACAAATGAAAACAATTAGTGTTAGATACATTGTGAGTACTAAGTATTAAACATTCGCACATTTTATAAAAACAAAAACGTGGAAAAAGTGCTTAAGAAAAAAGTTCTCTGTATAGAATCTTTCCATTCATGTAACTAAATTATAAGATTTTCTGTAGTGCTATACAACATTTTTACTTCTCATCAGTGGGATTAACAAGTGCAACATCAACATTTATAATACAATTTGTTTTTACATTGTTAATTCATTCAAAAACAATATTATTAACAATTTGAAAGAATAACTAATTAAATTGCTTCAACGTCCTAAAGTATACCTACCTTATTCAATTATTTTACTTATATTTCAGATTAATACTACTTTGGTACATTATAATTTATAAATGGAATTCTATACAATAAGTCTCAGTGCTCAAAATTGTGGGGTCAATATGTTACACTTCGAAAAAAAAACTATAAAGTTAGAAAATTAAAAATACGTTTACAGATATGTATGATAAAATATTTTGAAATTTTACTAAATTATTTACAATTTTACAGGTGATTGTAAAACTGTTTTCGAAAAAACCAATTAAAATTTTTTTAAAGTCTTCAATTGCTCAATGAATATTTATATTATCAACATTTCTAAACTCGATATAAATATAATTTTCAAAATATTTTGGCACTATTTCTGTAGATAAGAAAAAATTTTAATTTAAAAAAATGTTTTTCGATGTATAGGACATAAGTACCTACATGTATTATTATTGATTATACAATTTTTATTTGTTAGTGAAAAAGTTTATTATTTTAAGAAAAGATGATTCTTAAATTTTTTACACTGTTTAAAAAAATCCAAAATGCTTAGTCATCATTTTTTTTATGACTACCTAACCTAACTTGGGAACAATTACTAAAATTTCATGAATTGTAATTTCGGACAAATTATTAGAAACAATTTCAATAGCTTTACTACTACAATTAAATAGATATACTAATAAAAACATGAATTAAATAGTCTACATATATAAACCTACATTTTAATACTTTTGCAACTAGGTTTAAAATAATATTAGGTACTACCTAATATTTATATACAACTAATAAGTGATAATGATTCTCTACTGACTACTTTAGGACAGTGTATAAACTAAAACTATAATCTAGTATTTTGTACTACCTATTGTCAATGGTGTACCTAGGATTTTACTATTTTAGTAGGTACCTACAACAGTGCAACCTGTTACTATAGGTGCAGAATTTCAGATAGTATAATACACAGAAAGCCAATGGGACTACTATTGCTTGTATAGATCATGAGAGCTATAAAAACGGTTTTCATTTCATTTCTAGTCGCGACCGAAACATAAAAATCGGCTTTAATATCATTTAAATTTTTATAAGTCCTTTTTAACAAATTTTTGATATGAAAAATGGTCTGTTGATTTTTTGTTTGTATAATGATAACAAATACAAACTTCATGATCCACCTGACAGTCTTTATTGTATCGTGATTTGAAGCAGTATTTATCATCAACCGCCTGAAAATGTTCATCCCAATATACTGGTAGTGTGGTAGTTTTCCGAGAATATAATAAAATGTTTAATTTTTCAAATTATCGCCTCCCTATGTCTTTAATATTTTCATAACGTCTTACAACAGATGGATGTTGATTCGAAGCATTTGTAACTCTAATGATAGATTCTGGAAAACATTAAAACATAATTAACTGCATGCCATAGAACTTTGCGCTATTAAGGCTAAATGGTGTAAAATTACAAACTTTGATCGAACATCCGACGTTCTGAAACAAATCCTCGATAATACCTCTAACTATTACCCCCAATCTAATTTGTCTAGACCACAACCAATACGCGTGTTAGCTAGTTTTTTTACACCATGTTCTACAATAAGATCACATAATTTTGTAATAGCCGCAGTTATACTATTATATGTAGGTTATTGTTTGCTAAGCTCCTTGGTAATTAAATAGCAAATAAATTGATCGTTTTCTTGCAAATATGCTACGCTGCCAACATTTTGTCTTTGGTCCATGAGGTCGCCAACTCTGTTGTAAATGCTCCTAAATTATATTTGAATAAATAAATTAAAAACATTAACAATATTTTATCAAGAAAACTATGTTATTGAAATATATAGCGATATCAGCACTCACACATATATATTTGGCCACACAATGTCCTAGAGCATAGTCTTTCGGCATATTTAGTAATGATGTATTAATTTCTTCCAAGGTGTTGCCTTGGTTAAGCGACCTGCAAATCATTTGCAAGAAATACAAATTTTGTTTAAGAAATCTATTACTTATTTTTGAGCAATTCATAGGCATTTGAAATATTGTAAGTTTTTTGATTTTTTTTTATCACTGTTGATAAACAATTGTTTGCAGATTTAAAATACTTGAAAACTTGATATAAATTTCCCTATAAGTTAGATTTATAGAAGTTCAAAAAAATGATCAACGAAAATATTTAGGTACAATTTGTTGTTAATATTAACATTTGAAGTTCAAATATTGACAAAATAATGATGGGGTACGTTAGTAACATTTTTTTTTTTATGACATTTTTTTTGGATTTACTTGGAAAGCCAATGTCCAATATAAGCATATTTTAATATTTATAAAGATTATAAGTTATTTCATCAAATGAGTGCAAAATCTGAGCTTAAGTTTGTATTTGCTTAAAACTAAATAATATTATCGAAAATGTTACCATTGTACCTGGACTTCCCAACTGTACCGTTTGCTGTATCCATTTAATATAATACATAATTAATAAGTATTTACATTTTAGATGTGTGTTTCAGAAGCCATAAGAACTGTAAGAAATCACAAAAATTGTATTGATTAAGATGTATGAAATTTGATATGGCTAATAGTTAAGTTAATAATTGAGAAGACAAAAAAATAATATAAACCCTGAATTAATATCTTATAAAATATTAGTATAATCATTTATTTTATTTTATTTTACACAGTTAAAGTTAATATTTTAATCGTTTGTTTATATAGAGTAAAATTAAGTTCTAAATCATAATTTGGTGGTTGTTAGTTGTAACATAACAGATTTACCATCATTACGACTTTAGGAAATAGAATTCAGTTAGTGTCATTAAGATATAAATAATATTGTAGGTTTGTAACCTTATCTGTGTAAATTAATTATTTATTTTAGTTATATATTAACAAAAATAAAATTGTACCCAACCGAAGAGTTAAATCATTTACCTTTTACATTGAAATAATAATGAATGTATAAGTGTAGGACGTAGGTACACTTGCAAGTAAGATACGAAACTAAAATGTTGTTCCTATTTTCTTTGAAACTAGGTTTCATATAAATAAAAAGTCGAGTTTTTATTATTAAATAAATTACTTTTGGGCTTCCCTTATCGTTTTTGGTTTATCTAAAATATAAAGTACAATTAACTTCTGTTTATAAATTCAAAATCCTCAGATGATCTATTTTCTACATAATTAAATTTAAATTAATCGCTATCTCATCGTTTAGAAGATTGTATAAAAAAAAAATATATTTTATTTTTATCTAGTTAATGATTTTTATAGTTTTCTATATTGAACAGTATTGTGTATTTGTGTTCTAAAGTATGTTTGAAACTTACAACTCGGTGTCATAAATGGATTTCTTTTTCGGATCCTTGGTGGCCGAATTTCGAGTGGCTCCCCTTGCCTATCTGAAACATAGATTAATTAATGAATTTAAAGTCTATTTAGAATTTTAATATAATGGTAATACCTACATTATTGTTCAGATTCATACAAAAGAAGTATAAAATATAAAAATATATGTTTGCTAGGTATTTTTGTTTAATGATATGCAAGCTTCGGGAGCAATTGCATACTTTTTTTATTTATTGTAAAATGTAGCAGAGTGCAAAATAAATTCATTTCTCAATGCCGTGATACCAAATCTAAAATTTGAATGTGCATATTTTATTTTTGCATATTTCATAAATTTTGCCGGAAACTGCTTATTTTTACGTTATTTTGCATAATTTGCATATTTTAGAAAATTTTTCAAAATTTCAACTTCACTAAAAAAGAAAATAGTAATGCAGCTTACTCATAGTCTTATGTACCTATTCGCAATATGCAACTCACAACTCCTAATAATTTTCGTAGTTTGAAAATATTATGATGGCCTGATTGCCCATATCTTTACATTTTATATAAAATGTTGCGATCCGAGCAATGCGATAATTTTAATATATTGCAGTCATTAAATGCTTTGAAACTAGAGGTATTCCCGGTAAATGTAAAATTATTTATTCATTGATTTAAATGAAAAATTTAATTTTTAACTTTTCCAATCACGAATAAGATTCAAAAAACTCGGAAATTTAAGAAACAAGTTAACAATCAGTAGATTTTTTTAAATTTTTTATATTGAGTACACTAATTGTAATTAATAATTATTAATAAAATAATAAATAATAATAAATATATTAAATGCTTTTTTTTTAAATTTTTTATATGTATATTTTACGGTTTATAAGTGCATATTTTAGAGCTTATTATTGTGTTTTTAAATGCTATAAATCCCAAACCCTGATAATATGCCTTTTCGAATTAATAAAATCAAAATCATTAAATATAATACCTAGATATTAGGTATAATGTATTTATGTATATATTTATTATTATTAATATTATCTTATCTTACTCATGTCGTAGTACCTCCGCTGGGAGGCCTCTACACTCAGACTAATCTGTCGTTATTTATTTTTATTTTTATTTAATTCATCAATTGTTTTTATTGTTCTATTTTATTGTAACAGATTGAATAAAAATCCTTTAATAACAAAAAAAAAAAATTTAGTAAGTTTAATACAAAGCGATTGCAGCATTGAAAATTAAATACTATAAATTATTTCATGAAAGCCAATTGTAAGTAAGGGACTAAATTATAATATGATGCAAAATTAAAATCTAAAAAAAATTTCATAAAACCACGGGAAACGCCTTGTAAAACCACTTATTATTATGTTATTAATCATTTGAATTTTTGAAAGCAGGTGTATATCATTTCCCTTGTCGTTATAAAAACTTTATTTACCCAACAGGCTGCAGTATAGAATATATTATACAATATATTTTAGTATCAGGGTAAGTTATGTTATGGTATTTTATAGGTAAATTATTTTTGTAAACAGTGGATAACATTTCAAGACTAAAATATCTTTAATGAAATGCGTGCATTTTAAACTACAGATATAATCCTCATCAACTACGTTAATCATATAACTACAAATGATAGATATGTGTACCCAACACTGTATAATTGTTCATTATCTTAATCCCGTTATAAATGTACAAAATAAATAATATCATCTTACTCCTCGGCTCTCGCCAGTGGCAATTCGGGGCACGGTGTCTTGGCTTATTACATATTTGACATTTTGTAATCAATTATAATTCAAAGGTTTTAATCTTGGTACATTATTATAAATAAAGTTGAATAAATTATTTAACTTACTGATTTTTATTTTTTAGTATTGGTTACTTGGTACTTTTCTGGGCTGCTGGAATTTCGCCGGGATATGGTTAGTGTGTTATACGTGGTGGCAGATGGATAGTACGACTTGGTGGGTGGGTGGTACGAGGCTGGTGAGTTTTCCATAGACAGCGGGTTACACATAGGGAGTATGTTGTACATGCCTGGTGGGTTGTACATTGGTTGAAATTGGTATATGGCGGGTGATGGCTGGTACGGCGTGGGCTGCTGGGCTGCCTGATATTCATACGGCGCCGTTGGCTGGTTTTTTATACCTAGAAGAGACACATTTTTCTTATTGTTCAAGAAAAGCAAATGATAAATTATTTTTAACACATAATATACATTAATGCAAACATTTGGTTCTTATACTTTGTCCCTAAAAAACTACTGTGAAGATATCAATATTTAGACTTAAGTCAATTTAAATATGAGAAAAAATTGTAGTGTTTATTGGTCGTCAATAATACTTTTGGTTCTAAAAATTCCTAAACTCAACATAAATCTATAGAAATAGTATAATTAAATCAAAGATGTAGAAAAAATGACTGGAATTTGGTAGATTTGTTTCTACATTAAATTTGAATATATTATAATAATAATTATTTGACTTGCAGAAAAATCTTGTAAAATTTCTTTAACTTTTTCTATAGCATCTGATGTTAATGATGCCATGGATTCAGAAGCAAATACATTATCATTTAATTTTAGTAAAGATACTAATGAATCATGAATGAAAAATGTACATGCCACCACTGGTTGGATGAGTGTAAACAAACTGCAAGCTCTTTTAATAATGTATAGATCACTGAAAGTTTTGATACTATTTCATCTCTATTGGCCTTAATGTTTTAAAACGCATACATAATTATTCCAAGAATATGGTTATTATTCTACGAATTTTCACTTGCATGTAAAGAATATGTAATTGAGATTGTAATTAGGATTGATTTACAGTTGCTAGTTTATCATGAAAATGCGCTTTTAACATATTTAAGTGTAGCTTAGTATGACAAAGGGCAGCGGTAGAAATAATCTTCATGTTACTCCCATAATTGTTAACCATACTATTATCAATCTTATATTAAATTATTTTTTCGTGGATTTAAATACTTACAATGTAAAATCTTGGTAGGAAATCAATTTTCCAATTACATAAACCTTTTATAAAATCTGTCCAGAGCTCTGACTAGGATTGCCGTGCCACTTGTATTTCTATCAATATAACACTGAACCATTTCCAAGTATTGAATCATATTATCTCCAACAAATATATTTAAGTTCTATACTGATTTTGCTCCCTTCATTTTCAACACTGAAAAAAGACAATGATTAATAAATAAATCAACATTTTAAATTGCATATGTTTTACTTTTTTGATAGATATTTAACAAACATATCATTTAATGATGAGATTACCAGGCACAATTAACTAAGAAAATCATCACTCCCTGAATCAATAAATTTAATCATATCCAAAAAAATAATTAAAAATACAAGTAAATTACATACCATCAACTTCAAAATTGGTTTATTTAATGTATATAATATTATATTATTATTCTAACAGCATTTGTGATTGCTTGTGTTAAAACTTGCCATTACAATCCAAGGTTTTAAATAGTTGAACTCGCAAGATTACATGTGCCCGAAAGGTCGAAAATTGATCAAATATACATATAGAACAGGATAAAACAACAAAGTGATAGGCCCTAGTCTAATTTCATATATTCATCAGGTAGCAATATACAATTTGAATATTTTTTTTTATATATTTGGGACATCCTGACACTTTACTGAATACAGCATTTCCTATTCTACCGAAAGATGTTTCCCTAAGTTATTTGATACTATTGAATTGTTTTAATAATATTCTTATTTTTTAGTTCAAATTTTTTGAGAAATTGAATAAGTCATAAATGAAACATTTATTTTATTAAAGATAATGTAAATTTTCATTAACTTTAGTAATTAAATTTGTTTACTCTATAAATAATAATTCATCATTAATTCATTATAAATAAACTATGTGTTGAAAATATTATTACCCGGTTGTGAGTCATCAATTTGCGATTGTGGAAAATGAGTGCAAAAAGTTGACTGACCATATACTGACCAGTTACTGGAGCCTGTAAACAAACTAAACGTTTTAATAATGTATGGGTCTCTGAAAGTTTTGATATTTCATCTATATTGGCCTAAATGTATTAAAACAAACACATAATTATTCAAAGTATACGGTTATTATTCTTTAAAATTTTCACTTGCATGCAATGATGATGTCATTATTTTTGACGTACTAGTATTCACATCCATTTTCAATAAGTGGTTCCATATATTTTTCTAAACTTTAAAATCATTTTTCATCTATTACAAAAATAAAAAGTTCAGAAACTAAAAACCATTCTGGTATTTTAATTTATTATGTGTAATATATATAACGTATGGTATTGTTTCCACTAGTCTTGAGATTCGAAACTTCAGTAGGATATCTTAAATCTATAGAAAAATATAAATTAAAAATTGAAAAATATATTAGAATGAAGTGATGCATTCCTTGTTGTAACACGCAATACAAAAGTAGTACTTTTGGTATAGCCAAAGGCTCTTTATATTTGTGGGAAAATGCCCTAGGTATGAAATCAAAAGAAAATTTTCGCATATGCCAATGGCATTTCAAGGAAGATTATATTGTTAGGAGTTAGGACATGGGTATTTGTTACAGTGTTACTGGATTTAAAAAATATGTGATATGTATATTAAGTATTAACCTAAACCTTAAATTCAAAAATAACTTTGGTAGTTAATAAATAAATAGTGTAATATAAATTAATTAATATTTTTACAATAAGATATGTTAGATAAAAGCTAAACTTCGAGATGGAGCAATTCCCATAGTGGAGAGCAGTAAAAGATTTAGTAGTTCACCAACACTAAACCTGGTATAATTTATACTTTAGAATTATGTTAACTAATGTATCAATTTTTTTACAAGTACATGTATAAAATTACTTTCTTATTTGTAATGATTTCCGATTTAGGGTCTAATTTAAAAAAATTTGCTGATCAATTAGGTATTACAGCAGAAACCCCTTATTTTAACCTATCAGGAAAAGAGATTGTTTTTATGTTCGATCCTCCTTATCTACTTAAAGCGACTAGAAGAAATAAGTTTTTCAACTAGAAATTTGAATCTAATAATAAAATTGCAGAAAATGTTCATTTAGAAAAATTCTATTCAGCAGATAAGACCCGTAATGTTTGTTTAGCACCTAAATTAACTGACATTCATCTTAATTCAAATTCATTTCAGAAAATTAAAGTTAAATTTGCTTCCCAAGTATTTAGCAAAACTGTAGCTGCTGGAATAGAAACTTGTGTTGACTGGTGACTTATCAGGTGAAGCTATTCATAAAATTGATTTTATTAATTAAATGGATAATCTTTTTTCAAGATCTCTCTTTTTTTTTTTATTTATTATAATTAAAATGTTTCAACATATTACATGTTATACAAGTTTGTTATTTCAATTAATACAATTTAGAATTTAGAATTTAATTGGGATTGAACACTCTGAAAGTGCTAATTGTAGAGCTGATTTAGATGAAATTTTAACGGCCATTAATGATACAGTATCTGTTGATTTAGAAGCACTATTCCCAGAAAAAAATCCAATTGTATTGAAAGCTTTGCCTGTTGAGGGATCAGGTTATAAAATACTCTATCTACCCGAGCAAAATGCCTCAGCCTATGTGTGTGGATATTTAATAAGTAAATGTATTGCAGTACATAATTGTGACACTTGTCTTAATTTTGGAAAGGCCACTACAAATGTATCAAGTGAAACGTTTTACTGTTTGTTCAAAAATCATGAACAAGATTCTTCATCAGTTTTTGGTAAATTTATGATGCCTGACTCTAGTTTTTATCTATATGTTTTTACTCTAGAATCAATTTTTAATCAAAATTTTACTTCCTTTGCTGCAAGAGCAAATGTTGGTCAACAACTCCGTTCTCTTATGGACAATGTATATTTGATTCATCCTTGTGAAAATTTCCCTAGAACATATCTTATTAATTTATATCTAAGACATACAATTTTCAGTACTATGCATAGAACAAACAAAGGTATTAAGGCATTAGGTACAGGTAGTCGAAGTAGAAAATTACAAATATTATCCAATCAGTAAATTAATTATTTGGTGTTATGATGGTGCTACATGAGTAAAAACATTCTAAAGTTTAAATATTGATCATTTTTATTATTATTTATGAATGTATGAAATTGTTATTATGTGCTTTATAATAAAAAAAAAACTACTTACTCATACAACAAATCTTTTTATTTCACTATCCTTTGTTACATCCGTATATTTATAAGTTAAAGGCATTATGTTAAAATATACTATGTCGGATGAATTTATTATTCACTCTCTCAAGCCAAGTAAACAACAATGTCATCTGCTGTGTCTTATCCAAAAGTGAGTGCATATTATAGCTATGAACCCAGCTTAACTCAAATACAATGTTACAATTAATATGTAACTAGGTAACATAATACTAAATACCAAAGTAAAAGGACCATTTTAACTGTAGTTTGTCTACTTAAATTATGTGGATTGTTGTTAAAACTAATTCTATTGATGTCTGATAACATACAACTATTACGTAGAACTATTAGAAAAATTGTACATCCAAACATATTATTACATAACATTAATGCAAGAAAGAATATATTAATGGTTAGTAGACATTTAATACAGTACTAAACAATAAAATAGAATGCTACAATATGTAAAAATATTTTTTTTTTTAAACACATCAGAAATGTGCATAACTTGTAAATTGATATCTATGACTATTGACAAACTTAGTTAATTAACCAACTCTGTACAATATGTATAAATTTATTGATGGAAAAAGTGGTATACACCCAATGAATAAGTAAGAATTTGCGTTTTAAGATTTCAATACACAAAAATTATAATAATTATTAAAAAAATTTAAAACCTATAAAAAAAAAATTTATAATACTAGGTATGCTGAAAAAAACAATAAACTTAAAAATTAAAATACAATTATCACAACATTTTGCTCACGGATATCTTAAATATGTAAATAATATTCCTTAATTAGCTGTCATTGGGCACCGTCGCCGTTTCCAGGGCCTGCTACTCTGTTTCAGGGGCCGTAGCCGTTCCCGAGGCTTCCTCCGTCGTTCCTGTCCCTTTTTTTGTTTTTTTATTTTTTTTTGCCGTTTTTAGGTCTGTTGCCTGTAATTAAAAATAACATTAAATATATTGCTTATTATTATATGAGCACTAAACGGTACTGCCAAAAAGTCCGAAGTAAAAAGTCTGTGGTGAAAAAGTCCTAAATACCTAGATACCTAAATAGGTAAAAGTAAAAATATGTGGTCAGGGATTGATCCAGGGGACTTCGGGGCCCAACCCCCTGCCGGGCAAACACATAATTTCCCAAATTTTTTTAATAACTCTACAGATACTGATTAAATTTTTTAAACTTAAAACATTTTTTAAATTATGTACAAAAATTATTGCACATTGCGACTATACTTGTATATTTTATAAGAGTAATGTATGTTAAGAGGGCGTTATGGTACCGAAATTCGGCCGTAAAAACATGGTTTCGTACTTCAAGTTTTCCTCAGCTCTCGATAGTCGTAGAAACATGATTTTTTCACCAAAATAAACGTGAGAAGTTCCTCTAGATTTTGTCGTGCCAGATTTTCGAATTTTTTTTTCAAACCGATTATATTTGCATTTGAAAATTTCAAAAT